TCTGATGTGATCTTAACTTCTCTTTCCTTCCTGTCATTCATAACCCATGTCCTCCTTACCCATAAAAAATAGCCGCTTACATCAACCTCACATAAATTCAATTGTGCAACTTCCACTGCTCACTGCAAGCCAGCCACTTTGTACTTGCATTCCAGATGGATCTTGAACCGACAGAATCTTGACAGGTGAGAATGCTAACAGGTGAGTTTCTGAAGAAGGGTCCCACCCGAAACGTCAGCTTTCCTGCTCCTCTGATGATGCCTGGCCTGCTGTGTTCATCCAGCTCCACACCTTGTCATCTCTAACAACAGCAGTGGAAAGCTTCAGCGGAAGATCTTTCTCCGCACCTTTGGAGATGACGGATGGAGAATGTTATGAAAAGCCATGATCCACCCGTCTCAGCTCCGTCTGCTTTTATTGCCTTGATGAGCAAAAATTGTCGAGTAACAAATGCTAAGCTGTGTTCCCAGGTCAAAAGCAGTTGTGATTCGACTTCAAGTCAGGATCAGACTTAAGTATGTTATAAACATAATACCCTAACATTTATGACTCACCTAGAACGTACTTTGCTGTTTTGATTTGCTTTAATTACATAGAATTTACAGCCACAGAAATTGTCCGTACAACTCACATAGTCCATGGTGGCATTTGTGCCATACCTGAGACTTCGCCAATGCTCCTTATCACACTTTACCAGCATAAACTTTCTGTTCATTTATCTCTCATCTATTCATTTCGCATCCCATTTATTTGTTTGTGTGTTATTCATTGCACCTACTCTTTCTGATAGCTTCATATTCTAACCTCTCTCTGGGGGTTGGCGGTTTGGGGGTTAGGGGGTGGACTAAAGAAGTTCTGCTTTTATTTATTGGCAAGTCTTTAATATTTATTGCTATTCGACTGGTCTGATAGTGAAAGAGAAAATTTTCAAGTTGCCACAGGATTTTTGTTTTGCACAGTTCTCAATCCTGCAGCTCATACAGCATGGAAAGAGACCTTTTGGTTCAACCAGTCCATGTGAAACATAATCCCAAACTAAACTAGTCCCACCTGCCTTCTCCTGGATCATATCCATCCAAACCTTTCCTATTCATGTCCTTATCCAAATGTCTTTGAAATGTTGTAATTGTACCCACATCCACCACCTCCTCAGGAAGTTCATTCCACACGTGCACAACCCTCTGTGTAAAAACATTGCCCCTCATGTCTTTTTTAAACTTCTCTCCTCTCACCTTAAAAATATACCCCATAGTCTTGAAATACCCCAGCCTAGGGAAACAAACAACCACCATTGACCCTATATACCCTTCATAATTTTATAAACTTCTATAAGATCACCTCTCAACCTTCTACGCTCCAGTGAAAAAAATCCCAGCCTATCCAGCTTTTCATATAACTCAAACCTTCCATACCTGGCAACATCCTGTTAAATCTCTTCTGAACCCTCTCCAGCTTAATAATATCTTTCCTATAATTGGGCGACCAGAACTGGACACAGTACTCCTGAAGAGGCCTCACCAATGTCCTGTACAACCTCAACATGACTTCTCAACTCCTACACTCAAAGGACTGAGCAATGAAGGCAAGCATGCTAAATGCCTTTCATCCATACTGTCTATATGTCATGCAAACTGCAAAGAATTATGCACCTGAACCCCTAGGTCCCTCTGTTCTACAACAACACCCAAGGCCGTACCAGTAATTGTATAAGCCCTACCTTTGTTTGTTGTACCAAAATGCAATACCTCACATTTATCCAGATTGAATTCCATCTGCCGTTTTTCAGCCCACAACTATTTGATCAAGATCCCTTCATAATCTTAGAAAACCTTCTTCACTGTCTACGATGCCACCAGTTTTGGTGTCATCCACAAACTTACTAACCATGCCTTCTATATTCTCATCCAAATAATTTATATAAACGGCAAACAAAAGAGGACCCATCTGTCTCCTGCCATTAAGCCAATTATGTATCAAATTGGCAAGCTGACCCTGAATCCCATGTGACCTAACTTTACCAATTAGTTTACCATGCAGAACCTTGTCAAAGACTTTACTAAATTCCAAATAAACAACATCTACTGCTCTTCCCTCATCAATCTTTTTGGTAACTTCCTCAAAAAACTCAGTCAAGTTTATGAAACATGAATTTCCTCGCATAAAACTGTTCTGACTATCCCTAATCAATTTTTGCCTCTCTAAATGTCCATAAAACCTATCTTTTATAAATCACCTCCAACAAATTTACCCACAACTGAAGTCAAACTAACAGATCTATAGTTCCCTGTTAATATAGAGTTTTACGGCATGGAATCAGACCTTTTGGTTCAACTCGTCCATGCCAACCAGATTTCCTAAACTGATCTAGTCCCATTTGCCAGCATTTGGCCCATATCCCTCTAACCCTTCCTATTCCTGTACCCATCCATCAAATCCCACACCAGGATTTGACAGCCAAGGAAGGCATGTTTATTATGCAGTCAGATTGGTTGAGCATCAACTTGTCAATCCTTTTAAATGTTGTAATTGTACCCACCTTCAGCACTTCCTCTGGCAGCTTATTCCATACATGTACCACCCCTTGTGTGAAAAAGTTGTCCCTCAGATCCCTTTTAAATCACTTTAAACCTATGCCCTCTAGTTTTGGACTTCCCCTTCAAAAGTAAAGACATTAATGATAGAATGCAACACAGAACACAACAAGAGCTTGTGTGTACAGTCTCCAAACACATTTTCCTGGCTGACCAGGATACTTACTGCTCTTACCACCTGCCATAGAAATATTGGAAGGAATTATAGATCGACGTTTAAACCATTTGTCAACATTATGAGTACACTTCTGTCGCTATTGAGTCCTGGAACAGGACTAGAACACAGAGCTTCTAGTTCACAGGTATGGACACTACCCACTTCGTTACAAGACATTGGACAAAATATATTGCTTGAGTCACACATTTCTAATAAATTTGTTTCAAATTATTCCATGAATTTCTGGTGAAGTGTTGAGAAAGGTCCAGCAAGAGGAGTCCTATTTCTCAAGTTCTATGTTGTTGTCCTGAATGCAAAAATGCAGCTGACTCAAAAAGCTATACCCCTAATGGATCCACCTCACAGGAAATGGTTATTATTAAAAAGGAACAAAACTGAGTGCAATCAAAGTTGGGTCATCTGCCCATTTTGTAATGATATCACCTTCCTAGATCATAAAAGAAGTAAACATTTGTATTTATAGTGTTTTATCACATTGTCAAAAACATACCTAAGTGCTATTGTGTAAACTGAAGACTTATAGAGTTATAATTTATATAGCACTTTTCATGACATCATAAAACACTCACAGCCAAAGTACTTTTCAAGTGTAGTTACTGATGTTCTGAAAGACAGCACCTCCAATAGTACAGCATTCCTTCAGCACCACACTGGGGCATCAGCCTACATTTTGTGTTCTGCTATGGTAGGACTTGAAACTACAACCTACTAAATCAAAAGCAAGCGTTTTACTTCCAGAGTCTCACTGATGTGTAAACAGATGTGTCAACCTTTTTTTGAAGGTGTAGACTGAGGGAGGAATGTTGACTGAGGTATCAGGAAAATAGCATCACATTAACCCGAAGAGACAGACAGTAACTCATTTAAGGCTTAAACTATGTGGGCCCGAATTCCAAACCCAGGAGCTTGTGTGGTCAGGTAGTGTTGTGGCACAGTGGGTAGTGTCCCTGTCTCTCAGCCAGAAACTCCAGGTTCAAATCCCACTCCAGGATTTGAAAGCCAAGGAAAGCATGTTCATTGTGCAGTTAGCTCGGTTGAACATTAAGTTGTCAATCCTTCCAGCTTACATCTTGGTCAGCCGTGTGATGGAGAGAAATTGGTTTCTCTACCTTCTCTAACCAGAGGTCCAGATTACAACATGCAAACAACTTAGAATCCTCAGGGGGCCAGATTGTTCTGTTGACTGGAAGGCCATTGTGAACCAGATTGCTGTACCATACCAGTATTATATTCAATTCCTGCTCCGCTTGTGATGGATTCAGGACCTACCTCCTTTTCCTACCTTTCGTGGTTGCATGTTGGACCTGTCTTTGGTCATAGAACTCAAGAAGAGCAGCTGTAGGCCTGGAACCCACAAAATATCCAAGCCAGAAATACACAGTGTTCAATGTGACCATAGCTGGTGTATATAATAATTCCATCCACCTGCCATGACGTTATATCCTCTTACACCCTTGTCCAGCAAAGATTGTTGAATGATGATGACAAATGGTGAGGTTAGGGTTAGCACCTATTAGGTGTAACCAGACTGAAAGATACTTAAAATAAATGTGTAAGCTCTTCAGGCAGAGATTGTCTTCATATGTCACAACCTATTGATTCCAAATTGAAAATAATAAGCTTATTTTAAAATTCCATGCAAAGAAAAATTTAACTTTTTCAATTTCTCTTTTATCTGCACCATTTCAGATGGTGCTAAAAGGTCATGATTGGGCATATTTTCACAGGTGTCACCTAGCTCCAAGTAGCTGATCATATGGGAGGCTAGTCAGTATGAGTGGCAACAGTTGAGTATGTCATTGACAACATTGAAAAACAAAACCAGAAATTTCTGAAATAACTCAGCAGGTCTGGCAGCATCTGTGGAGAAAAAACAGAGTTAATGTTTTGAGTCCAGTGACCCTTCTTCAGGACAGCTCAGATCAATGAAGAAGTGTCACTGGACTCGAAATGTTAACTCTGCAATTGCTGTTTTTGTTTGTTTCAGATCTCCAACATTTTATTTTATTGACAACATTGACCCTGCCTTACATAGGATTTACAGAACAGAATAAGATCATTGGCCTGGTTGGTCAGTTTTTATCCAAGCGGTAATTTTTCTGTTTATGTCAGAGTTGTTAACATGACCTGAAGATAACCACAACTGTTCAAAGCAAGAGTTTCCCTTGACAAAAGAGAGGTATCAAATGCAGAAATACATGGCTCAAATAAAATACATAGTTGCAAAATCCTGCCCTTACACACATGCTTTATTTTAGGATCTAAGGAGTTTTTTTTTGATCACATTCAATATTTTGTTTACAATGACAGATTTTGCTTGATAATCACAAAGGGATCACATTCAATTTGTTTGCTTAAAAGAGGTGACTTGCTTGAAATACCAACTAAATTAAAAACATAGCGATTGATGGATTGATGTTTCATTCTTCCAAAATATCGAATATCATCTATTGTCCTTGTAAAAAAAATACGCACTGCAGCTGATGTTAAAGTTCATGACTTAAAATGTTGCTCTTTTGTCTGTTGTAATTTACACGTATGCTAATGCAATGGGAGATCAGTAACATTCCCAAAATTGGAAGGCTTTAGTCTCAGGCCAGGTGTGTTTCTTCTGAATCCAAACCTTCCATTGTATCCATCTATCGGTCTGAGATCTGCCAAAAATCCTCGGTGACCAACTATTTGATCATATGAATGACCTGTAAAATCAATAAATGCAGAATAAAACCAAGTGTCTTATTGAGTTTTACAAAGAACCTATAGCCAGTCAACTCTAGTCGTCCATGTCAGCAGTTGTTCTTCAATTTGTTAATTCCACCTATTAACCATTTCCCAAAGTTCTTTCTCTGTCATGTGTGCATCAAGCCTCCTTTTAACTGTGTTAATGCTATCTTTATCAATCGCTGTATCTGGCAGTGAATTTTGCCTTTACCACTTTCTGGGAAAGAAATACCCCCTTGATTTTTTTTGCTTGACTTATCAGTAGCTCTTATATTTATGCCCCTACCCCTCATCATCTTGCACTCACCCACAAATGACATAATTCCTCCAAATCCTTTCTACTGAACCTGTCATAGTTAAAGAAGGCCTCTGTCATATCTTTCTGTCTTGCATTCATCAGGATTTAAATGCAAAAAAACAGACTTCAAAAAGGGTTTTCATTCATCAGTACCATTAGGAGTAGGCCTATGGCTTATTGAATCTGCTTCCATAATTTATGTTAATCATGGCAATGCTACCTGCCTAAGCTGAAATTTCCACCTTTCTTCAAAAACAGAAAATATTGGAAATGCATGTTAGTTTGCATTCTTAAGAGAAAGGGTGGTTCATAATGATTCAGATGCGGAACATTCCATAATTTTTTGCTCTTGTGGAATAATTTTATCTTTGAGGATTGTTTTAGAAGCTCTCAATATGTTCCAGAATTCTATATATCTCTTTTTATTTCAGATGACTTCTCTTATGTCTACATGTCAGTTTGTTCCAAATACTTAACAACCTTTTGTGTGAAGGGAGTTAACCTGACATATTCCAATCGTTGGTTTTGCTAAGATTCTAAATCGTGACCTTACGAGCAAGGACCTTCTGGAGTGCCATAGTGCTTCTATTGTCACTCTGTCTGAAGTCAGCAAACTCAGCACAGATGGGGGTCTGAGTTAGGGATTTTTCTATTCTCTATGATTCAATTATACACCGGGCAGTGTTATCCTTTGAATCTTAAAAGGAAGACACTTTTGATAAGACCTCAACAATGAGTGACAGTGATCGGGATTGCCAATATGCTACACATTGGGCCTTGTTAGTTGTTCATTATTTGTCACTGCAATCTTTCCCAAGTCGCTCCGAGCTACCAATAATTATCAGGATCAAAAATTATGAAGTAAATGTCTGCAATCTCCCGCAGTTTTATCTCACCTCATTTACAAAAATAAAGTCTTTTCACTGTCTTTGCATGTCACCTTGTTTCCAAAGGGGTGACACAACACCTGACAGAAGCAGATAATGAGACATTTCATGGGACAATGATAATCAGACACACGCTGTTGCTATGTCATGTTGCTAGGCACCAAATAACCTCATGTGTCATTGAATTCAGTGGCTATTATCTAAACCCCCTGGGAACAACCAACAGAACATTAATGTGTACACTGGATTCTGTCTGCAGAAAGCAAAGGTATTTTGTTTTTCCCACCAGTAACCTCATTCTGAGAATGCAATTCTTCTGTAAGCAACTACAGGCATTTTTTAATGCAATATTGCAGTAATTAGATTCTTTCATGCTGTGCTCATCTCACCACAGAAAATCACAATGAAATTAAAATGTTCCTTGGGATCCACAATTCCTCATCATGGGAATCTTTTTAGTTATTTATTTTGTGTTGAAATGAAAATTGAAATGAGAGTGTTAGAAAATTGAATACTGTCCATTTCAAACCTATCAATATCAACACCCACATTTAGAGCTTTGGTCACATTGATTATCTTGGACATTCTTTATGAACCTTCGTTGTAAATGCATTTGTCACATGAATAAAGTGACAAAGTTCACGTACTCTAGAGGAAGTTCATTTCTTTGTAAAAGCAAATGTTTTTGCTTTGACTTATTTTGTTGTGTTCAGGCTCAAAAAAAACTTTGGAAAATTCCTATCGCAGAAAATGCATTAAGCTCATCATTCATTTGATTTCATTTGACAGAAGCTTCCAGATGGAAGGAACTTTGAAACTAATCAAGCAGCAGCAAAATATTGCAGATGCTGGAAATTTGAAGTAAACACAGAAAATGCTGGAAATATTCAGCAAGTTAGATAGCAACTGCAGGGCGAGAAACAGAAACAATGCGTCGGGTTGATAAATTTTTAGCAGAACTGCAGCTTTCTTTTCCATATTTCAATTTATTCATTTTCAGAACTGTCATGTTCACTGCACATGGTCTAAATTAAGATGCTGATCACATTTTCATCATTTTTTTTTCAAAATCTGTTGTAACCTCTGCAAACTTAAACCGTCTGGGAGCACTTTTGACCAAACAGTATTTTAATTATGGATTACATAAGGGACATTAAACAGTGGTTAGTTAGAAGCTGTAACAAATAGACACAATCAGTATTTTAGTGGTCAGATGTTTTCAGAACTCATGGGGTTAAATTAATTATCAGCTGCCATGATTCTGAAAGAATATTGCCTTCACCACGGCCATTTAAGCCTAATGTGCTCCTACAACCTCTAGGAATAATTATAGCACACAAACCAACAGCCACACTTCGCCAGCTACTCTCAAAGATGAGAGACCCCATACCTACAATCAGCAGGATGAGTATGATATATCAAATACCACGCAGCAACTGTGAGAGGCAATACATTGGACAGACGGGCAGGAAACTCACTGCCAGGATACACAAACACCAACTCGTAGCAAAACGGCACAACCAACTTTCCCTCATTTCTATTCACTCCGACAAAGAAGGACATCAGTTTAACTGGGACAATGTAACACTACTAGGACAAGCAAAACAAAGACAAGCACGAGAATTCCTGGAAGCCTGATTTTCAACCACTGGTGCCATAAACAAAAATGTTGAAATAGCCCCCATCTACATACCACTACATGGCAAAACTGGAAACAGAACTACCCAGCATAACAGACTGGATCATATAAATTCAGAACGGAACAGAACAGCAGCACTTCAAAGGAGGCTAGACAGCTCTGAAGATGTCACCCAGAAGGGGGATGAAATGTTTGCATGAAAACCAGTCAGCACGGCAAACCAAGCAACAATTCCAGCCACAATCCAAGCTACAGATCTTTACTAAAACATTAAAGCTTAATATTTCAGCTGAAGGGCAGGTGTTAAGGTATTATAATTTTGGGGGTATGTTAATATAGTTTTGTCATTTCTATCTATATCTAAGAGACATCATCCTTGCTAACTACATTTTCCCCTCATTCTGACTGCGGTAAAACCAAGGCTCATTATACTGTCTGTGAATGGATTAAAATTATGCAACTTCTTGCTTTTCCAGTTTGCTCTCCTGTTTATAATTTGTCGCAATTAAAACTTTAACTTACGTAAGAAGTATTCCACGGAAAACAAGACCACTGTCAACTTGGTTCTGCCATCCTGCTAGTCGCATGATACATTGACAGAGTCGTTCACAGATCATAGCAATTAAACACTACCTAGGTATTAGTTAGTGATTTACCACATTATCTGTTGAACATTTTCATCCTTGTAGTATCTTGCCAGGTGGACTGTGGTCCTTTAGTTATGTTTCTCAAATACTGGAACCTCCCAAAATATTGGACAATTCAGGATAATCTTTCTGTGGGATTGCTGGACTGGAACTAGATGGACTGGAACTATGCTGGGTTAGATGCTGCTTGAAGTCAGGTATCATAGAATCCCTACAGTGTGGAAATGGGCCATTCGGCCTAACATGTGCACACTGCCCCTCCGCAGAGCATCCCATCCAGACCCACCCCCACCTCCACATCCCACGTCTACACCTCCACATCCCACGTCTAACCCACCTAACCTAAACATCCCTGGACACTATGGGCAATTTAGCATGGCCAATCCACCTACCCTGCACATCTTTGAACTGTGGGAGGAAACTGGAGCACCCAGAGGAAACCCACGCAAACACAGGAAGAACATGCAAACTCCACACAGACAGTCACCCGAGGGTGGACTCAAACCCAGGTCTCTGGCATTGTGAGGCAGCAGCGCTAACTACTGGGCCACCGTGCCACCTCAGTACTCAGTGATTTGAAACATACCGAAAACGAAATTGCTGGAGAAACTCAGTAGGTCTGTCAGCAACTGTGGAGAAAAAAGACAGTTAGCATTTCAAGTCTGGTGACCCTTCTTGTTTCTGAAGAAGTGTCATTAGATTCAATATGTTACCTCTGTTTTTTTCTCCATATTTGCTGCCATTCCTGCTGAGTTTCTCCAGCAATTTTTTTGTGCATTTCAGATCTACATTTCTTTGTTTTATCACTTTCATGATTTTTCTTGGATCTAACCCTTAGTTGTAAAATTTTTTCTACAAACAAATCCACTTCCTATCCGTTTGAAATGTTGGATCCACACTTAAAACAGAATCAATACATTTTATAACAAGACTATTTCTAAGAAGGTATAAAATGATGTACCTGCTCCATACATATTTCTTTTGCGAAGGTACCTTTGAGCTGGTCCATATTTGTAAAAATAATCCACAAGCCAGCCATTGCTTGATGTCCCACCATGATCCTAACAAAAATTATTTATTGATTAAATTGTCAAAATGAGTTGAAATAATAAATGAAATAGCCTTCCTCATTCCAGCCAGCCCCACTGAAAAAGAACAGAAATGTAAAACAATGATGGGGAATGGTTAGCAAATTGCATTTGAACCCAATCCGAAGACAAGGGTGAATTCTGTCTGCTAACTGGTCCCCTTTACAGCGAATGCAATCCATTCTTTTCATTAACATATCAAATGCATTTAACTGAAGTAAAGAAAAGCTATAGAAATGACAACTGACATACCAAAAAAAAAATGAAACCAAGTTTGTTCAATGTCTCAGAAAATACAGAAATTGAACACCTGAGTGACACAGACCAGGCAAATTACAGATTTCTGAGATAACAAGGTGTAGAGCTGGATGAACACAGCAGGCCAAGCAACATCATAGGAGCAGGAAAGCTGACGTTTCAGGTACAGATTTCTTCTTGTTTTGCCCTAGTATTGGTGACAAGGAGTACTATGCTCGGCTTCACCATTGTGAATTAAGAAGTGCAAAAAACCAGCCAGGAATCTATTCAACAACTGCTGCTAAAAATGTGTATGGGTGGGTTTTCCGTGTGGACCACAGCAGTTATTTATTCTAATAATCTGGAGGTTAGATTTATAACCTGATAGACTAATAGTGTAGCATGATATTATATCATTTAACTACCAATACAACTGGAAATCTAAATTAAATTAATCTGGAACAAAAACCTAGGATCAATAATGGCAACTATGTAACCACTGGTCTGTTGGAAAAATCAATTTTTTGGGCTACAGATAGTCTTTGCTCATTCATCAATAGTGGATCACTGGAATTAATTACTAGAGGAGTCCATTGCTGTCCAATCATATCTTTAAGAGAGGGAAAAAAAGTATTTGGCGCAGTTGGTTTTTAACTGAGCACAGGACTAACCCAGAGACAAAGGAAAAGAATAGGATGTAAAGGAAGAAGAAACACTCAAAGAAGGCAAAAGAGGAAGAAATCAGAGTTAACTGAAACAGAAAATAAAAACAAAATAACAACCAGATAACCTGAGCAGCAAACATATGAGGCAGACGTTAAGGGAAACATACGAAGATTCATGGTATAGAATGAAGCTATTTCACCTGTCAAGTTTGTGTCAGCTGAAAAAGAACTATCCAACTTAATCCCATATTCCAGCTCTTGGTCCGGAGCCCAGTATCTTACGCGAATGTCCATTTTTTAAAAATGCAATGATTGCTTCTTTCTCAATTACCCTTTCAGGCAGTGAGCTCCGAATCGAAACCAGAAATTGCTGGATAAGCTCAGCAGTTTTGAACAGTTCTGAGGAAGGGTCACTGGATCCGAAACGCTAAATCTGATTTCTCTCTACTGATGCTAGCACATCTGCTGAGCCTTTCCAGCAATTTCTCTTTTTGTTTCTGACTTACAGCATCCGCAGTTCTTTTGGTTTTTATTTAGTGAGCTGGGTGAATATAGTAGATGGCTACGTGAATACTCCCCTCTAAATCACTATTTCAAAGAGCAGGGGTATTAACCCCACTGTCCTGGCTAATATTTATTCCTCAATCAAGTCGTAAAATGCTTTGAAACATCCTGTGATCTTGGATGTGATCTTAATGCGTGTCTTTCTTTTTCCTTTCCTTTAATCCTTCTACCGATTGCAGCACTTTAAATCTGTGTTAAGGTCGCCACAGTCCCAGAGGGTCATAGGGCTGCTCTCTCATTACAGAGAGACAATTGTGGTGGTTTAACCTGAAGGTCACCACGCCTCAGGCGGGGTTGATGTTGATAAAGTGGGACCTCAGCTGGTGCGGGATTTGGACGCACGCTGTTGGCATCCCTCTGCATTGCAAACAAGCTGTCCAACCAATTAAATCTATGTTATCTGGTTATTGATCGCCCTGCGAATTAGAATTGATCCTTCCTATCCATTTTATCTACATCCCTAACGTATAAGGTTAAATGCAAAAATTACATTCTTAACATGCCTAAATCATTAGACATTAGAGTTCTGTAGATGTAGACACCTGGTTGATAGATTATTTCTTTTTTTTCTGAATGAAATGAAGCCAAGTGAATCAATCAACAAAACATCAAAAGTCAACCAAATATGGGTTTCTGGTTCTCCTTGGATGCTGTCTGAACAGCTGTGATCTCCAGCATTTGTTGTTTTCAGTGGATTTCTGACTGTTGATACTTGTTTTCAAAATTTACGCATCACCAGTTCACAGTACCCCTACAGTGTGGAAGCTGGTCATTTGGCCCATCGAGCCCACTCCTATCCTCCGAAGAGCATCCCAACCAGACCCACTACCCAATCCCCGTAACCCTGCATTTCCCATGGCCAAATCCACCTCACCTGCACATCTTTGCACTGTGGGAGGATACCGGAGCACTCGGAGGAAACCCACAGGGAGAATGTGCAAACTCCACACAGACAGTCACTCGAGGGTTGAGGGAGCAGTGATGGTTTCCACTGCAATGGTGTTTATACTGTGCAGTCAACTAGACCGTTAATGTGGTTTACAACGTGATCGTCAGCTCCTACAACTCAATTGTTCCAAAGCGCAAACCCGAAGATACCTGGTTGGTCCGCTTGAGAAGCTTTCTCATTTGATTGCTGTAGAAATTGAACTTAGTGTAAGGGTCAGCCTGGGCGTTGTACGGCGGAATAACATCGCACAGTTTGGGATTGACTTTGCCGTACCCCAAAGCATTGGAGGCGACGGCCACACCATCTAAGATGAACCCTCTTTCTTTTCTGAAGAAGTCAAGCTCCAGGCAACAAACCCCACGAGGACAGGAAGAGTTATTGTTCATGGCGACAGCACGGTTTATGTAAAGCCTCAATCCTGTAAATAAGGTACAACTATCCCAATCCTAGTTGTTAATGTCACTTAATGTCACAGGGCTCACTGTTACGTTTCACTAAATATAAAATTTACCTTGCAAAAAAACATATTTTTCAAGCCTCACAACATCGGCGCCAATCAGATAGAAATACAATGAATATTTATTAATAATAGCGTTAGTTTGCATTGTTTGAAGTTTCTTCACTGATTTACTTTTCCAATCAACACAGATACATATGTCTGTAGACAATATCTGGTAACACCCAGAACAGATAGGAGTTAGCAAGCACTGTGGTCACCACCTCGGAACGGGGCATGATTACACCGATTTTTAGAAAGGTAATTTTTTTTTCTCATCACAGCGGCAGGCCTACGGTTACAAGTATATTGTTAATGGGTAATGCTAATGTTTAAAGCACCGCCTTGTGCAAGTTCCTCTTCAAGACGCACACCAACTTCAGTCGGAACATCGAGGGGCTGAATGGCCTATTCCCGATTCATATGCTGGCCTTGCCAGTTATGCCCACATCCCATAAATAAACAAAGATAATAGAACAATGAGACATCATTAATAATGAAGAGATAACACAGTGTGGAGCTGGAGAAGCACAGCAGGCCGGGCAGCATCAGAGGAGCAGGAAAGTTGATGTTTCAGGTAGGGACCATTGATAATGGTGAAAATACTTCACTGGCTGTAAGCACTATGGGATTTCATCATCCCCTTTCTCCCCAAAACCTGTGCACCCTCTTCAAGACACAACATTGTGATGGAATACTCTCCACTTGCCTGGGTGGGTGCAGCTCCAACAACACTCAAGGAGGTCAATGCCATTCTGGCTAAAACAGTCCACTTGATTTCCATCCATTCCCTCCCTTCATCACCTATGTACAGTGGCAGCTGTGTATGATCCACAAGAATCACTACAGCAAGGCTCCCCCACAGCACTTTCTAATCCACAAACTCTACCACTTATAAATTCCCCTCAAAACCATTCTTGTATTGCCATTCCTTCACCGTCACTACGATAACATCCTCGATTCCCCTACAGCACTTGCTGTCCCTACAGCCCAAGAACTGTACATTTTAACTTAATGATTTGTTTGACAACCTACAATTGGAGAAATATTTAATTTTGTGACATACACTTGTACAAGTTCAAACAGAAAGTATAGATCACACTTCAGTGAGGATAAATACAATTTGAAAAGTTCACCCAGAAATATTGCTTTTGTTCTCTGCAGCACTTACTAGCCCAACTCCCACAACCATGTGCAATTGCACAATACTTGGGATACTGGCCAGTTTTGTGGATGGAAGTGATCATCCAGATGACTTAGTTTAGGCCCCATAAATGGCCTAGATCTAGTGCATTTGGTGTGGACTTTCCTCTTCCCAAGCCTGTTTAAATTTCAGGTCAAGGCCAATTGTCAAGGACCTGGAAACAGAGAAATCATCAAGGAGGCAAACGGCCATTCAATTGAATGTCTTACACATCCAGTTAACAAAATGCACCAAATCCCATGATTTTTAATGAAAATTTTAAGAAGTGAATAAAGGATTGGGACAACATTCAGTACAAAAAAAATTAATGATCCTAAATATTTTAAATGTTATTTAAGGGCATATAGTCTATTTTCCAGCAGAGGTTTTTCAGCAATAATTATGAATTTGATTTACTGAAAAGCTGCACCTCAATCAATAAAGTGTAATGTTTTGCAGTGGGATGTATTGTGTAAAGATTGGGGTCTGCATGAGCTTCAAGAGTGCTCCCCCATGAGGAGTGCACAGTCACTAACAACTTTTGGACCTCAAGTTTAAATTCTGTAAGAAAGAAATTGGTGTCAGTTTCAGAGGATGGTGAACATGGAACTAACACAGTTACCAAAATAACCAAAAAGGAGGCAATTTTGCATTTAACATCTGTGCTCTCACACTGTAAAAGCAACTCATCTAGACCCAATTAACTGCCTTCTTCCAACAAAACTGGCACTGCAACCTTCTCTCTTCAGGTACTTACCCAACATATTTTTCCCTGCAAGGCATCAATTGAATCTACTACCACCACCACACTCTCAAGCAACAATGTCCTGATTCAGTCTACTGAGACAAAAGGGTTCCCTCATGTAGCCATTACTGAATTTGAGAATCAACCTCTGCCTCTCAATTCTTTTGCCAACAGGACATTGCTCTCTATTAACATCCAAACTCCTCAATTTTGAAAGGCTCTATCAAAATGCCTTTATTTCTCCAACCTATACATGCAACTGAAATTTTTCACATCCAGAACCATTCTCTGAACCTTTTCAACACCCCAAATGCATCACATCTTTCCTAAAGAATGGTGCCCAATATTGCACACTACATTCCAGTTAAGACCAAACTACTAAGTTCCTACTATCTCTAATACTTTTATTCACCTGACTTCTTTTGTACTCTACTTTTTTTTCTATTCATTTGTGGGATGTGGACGTCGTTGGCTGGGCCAGCATTTCTTGCCCATCCCTAGTTGCCCTTGGGAAAGTGGTGGCGAGCTGCCTTCTTGAACCGCTACAGTCCACCTGCTGTAGGTTGACCCACAATGCCATTAGGGAGGAAATTGCAGGATCTCGACCCAGCAACACTGAACTAACGCCAATACATTTCCAAGACAGGCTGTTGAGTGGCTTGGAGAGGAACTTGGAGGTGGTGGTGTTCCCATATGTCTGATGCTCTTGTCCTTCTGGATGGAAGTGGTGGCAGTTTTGGAAGGTGCTGTCTGAGAATCTTTGGTGAATTTCTGCAGTGCATCTTCTAAATAATACACACTGCTGCCACTGAGCAGAAGTGATGGAGGGAGTGAATGCTTGTGGATGTAGTGCCAATCAAGCGGGCTGCATTGTCCTGGAAGGTGTCAAGCTTCTTCAGTGTTGTTGGGGCTGCACTCATCTTGGCAAGTGGGGAGTATTCCATCACACTCCTGACTTGTGCCTTGTAGAAGGTGGACAGGCTTGGAAGAGTCAGGAGGTGAGTTACTTGCTGCAGCATTCCTAGCTCTTGTATCCACTGTGTTTATGTGGTGAGTCCACTTGAGTTTCTGGTCAATGATAAACTCCGGGATATTGATAGTGGGGAATTCAGTGATGGTAACACCATTGAATGTCAAAGGGTGGTGGCTAGATGGCCTCTTATTGGAGATGTCATAGCCTGGCATGGGTGGCACAAGTGTCACTTGCCAGCCCAAGCCTGGCTATCGTGTAGATCTTGTTGCATTTGAACACGGACTGCTTCAGTATCTGAGGAGTCACGAATAATGTTGAACATCGGGCAATCATCGGTGATCTTGTCCACTTCTGATCTTATAATGGACAGAAGGTCTTTGATGAAGCAGCTGAAGATGTTTGGGCCGAGAACACTACCCTAAGGAACTCCTGCAGAGATGTCTTGGAGCTAAGATGATTGACCTCCAACAACCATGACCATCTTCCTATGTGTCAGGTATGACTCTAACCACCAGAGGGTTTGCCCCTGATACCCATTGATTCTAGTTTTGCTAGGGATCCTTGATGCCACACTCTGTTGAATACAGCCTCGATATCAAGGGCTGTCACTCTGACCTCACCTTTGGAATTCAGCTCTTTTGTTCATTTGGAGGTCAGGAGCCAAGTACCCTGGCAGGACCCCAACTGGTCATCACTGAGCAGGTGCTGCTCGATAGTACTGTTGATGACACCAGCCACCACTTTGCTGATGACTGAGAGCAGATTGATGGGGTGATAATGGGCCAGGTTGGTTTCTCCCTGCTTTTTGTGTACAAGACATCCTTGGGCAATTTTCCACATTGGCAGGTAGATACCAGTGTTGTAACTGTGCTGGAACAGCTTGGCTAGGGGAGCAGCGAGTTCCAGAGCACACGTCTTCGATACTATTGCCAGAATGTTGTCAGGGCCTGTAGCCTTTTCAGTACCCAGTATCTCCAACTGTTGCTTGATAACATGGAGTGAATCGAATTGGCTGAAGACTGCTACCTGTAACGCTGAGGACCACTGGAGGAGGCCAAGATGGATCAGCCACTCAGCACTTCTGGCTGAAAATTGCTGCAAAGCTCCAACCTTATCTTTTGCACTGATGTGTTGGACCCTTCCATCATCGAAGGTGGGGATATTTTTAGAGCCGCCTCCTCTAGTGAGCTGTTTAATTATCCACCAGCATTCATGGTTGGATGTGTCAGACTGCAGAGCTTAGATCTAATCTGTTGGTTGTGGGATCACTTAGCTCTGTCTATCACTTGCTGCTTTTGTTGTTTGGCATGCAAGTAGTCCTGTTTCCTCCTATTTATCTTTATAGATTTACATCAATCTTGCAACTCTTAAAATATCCTGTTTCCTGCTTTCACAACATCCAATATACACAGACTTGCTCAGCTGCAGTGTCTAGATTCTTCAAAAAAAAAGTTACAGAGCAACTACATTGCCTAAAGGAATTAATGTAAGTGGAAATAAAATACTGGAAAAGCACTATCTATCTCGACTTCATCTCGGTTTCAATGCTTTATTCAAGATCTAGTAACATCTATTCAAGACACTAAACTCACCATGAAAAGATACATGAAACAGCACATCTTTTAACTGAAGGAGAACTATTTGAATACTCAATTTTGTATATTCAACAGTGGGTTTGCAGCTACTGTAATTTCCCCACCCAAATAAAAGGCTTCCTTTGAGACACCTATTATCTCAAATTTTGAAAGCCTCATTTGACCAAAGGCAAATGATATTGGCATATCATTCAACTGTGAAGAACAAAATCTGACCCTGCCCTTACTCCCTTTTGCACAAGTACACTTTCCAGCAATAAACGCTGATCAGGAACTAGACTTGTATCATGTTTTCTCTCCATGGACCTCAGAGGGGAACTGTCAACTGAATTGCAACAACAGCTTGTACAGAAATTTCAATAAGCCTCCAAATTCCAATCATCAATGATCTATG